ATTTGAAGTGGTACCAATTCTATCTACTGGACGTAGCTGCTCTGGTTGTGGCTGCTGTGTTGGCATTGCTGGCGGTTGCTGTGCTGTCAGTGCGTTGGATTTTGCGGAGATGGAAGGGCGAAAAGAGCAAACAAAAAACACAGTAATAAATGCTGTTGTGTCGAATTATTGTTCAGTGAATATATATAAATTAATTGTTAATTATAAGTGTAAATATAGTTTGAAAACGTATTAAAATACTTGTACTTTAACTGAATGTAACGCAGGCTGATGATATCCAAAAAGTAAGTAAGTACTTTATAGTTTATTAATACATATGTGCATGTTTATTGGGGTGGTCCTTAAAATATCAACATATAAATTTTGTATGGGGCATGCCGTTATTTTGTTCTACATCAACGAAAGTTTCAAAAGTTTAAATATATTTTCAGGAGTTACTGCCAGGATTTGAAAAATATAATTTTTGTTAAAAAATTCGCAAAATTTCAAAAAAAATTTGACAGTAAACTGCTACAACTCAGCGAGTTTATAAATCTATATGAACGAGTCAATAAAAACAATTTTTGCGATTAAAAAAAAAATAATTTTTAGCGACCCTAAAAATTTGTTTAAACTTTTGATGTGCCCCATATAAAATAGGTAGATATTTTAAGGAGCGCCCTAATTTGCATGGATGTACCACCACCACAGGTGGCCACAAAATTAGTAACACTACTTCTGTACAGGCTTTTACCATACATTTTTCTGCTCACCCGAATATTTTCTAGAAATTCAGCATTTTTATAAACCTAGTAAAAGGTTTGAAACTTTGAGTTATATTGATTTCGTTCTGATATAAACTTATTTTTGTAAAAAAATAAATTGTAAAAATTTGTAAAAACGTAATGTCCTTAATCATGTGGCCACCACTGGCTGTACTAAAATAAATCAAATTTCAACAAAGCGGATTTCTATTTGATATTTGACGAAATCCTTCTGTGAGTATAGGCGTGGCAGTGGATCAATTTCACACATCTTCCTAAGTAAATAAATGTGTGAAAAAAAATTCATCAACACCAGATAGCAGCATCGATGGGCCATCGATAGTTTGCGATAGTAAATTCCTGGCGGCAGATATCTGAGCCCGGACTAACACATTGTCGAATCTTTACTGATGGCTCCAAACCTCAGTCTGGGTCAGGATCTGGGATCTTAAATAATAGAAGATAATAGGAATAAACTTCACTTTTCTCTTTCGGGGAATATGTTTCTGTCTTCCAGGCTGCGTTATTTGCAATCCTCAATGCCATTGACTACGTAGTGGAAAATAGGTAAAAGGGAGTTTACTTAACGGGCTTTCTGGACTCTGGGTGCGACATAACTCGCGAGTACCTGGTTACGAAACATCCGACCATTTGGCCAGAGTTGGGTCAAAAAGGAATTGCTCGATCCGCAACCAGTTATAGCACTCCCACCTTTGGCATCCAAGCCACCATCAGAAACTGGGTGAATACTTCGCGCAGCAATGACTGGGAGGCACTTAGGGCGGCAGGTGGGCAAAACGCATGTTGCTTTCAATCTCAGAAGGTCTAGGTAGTTGTTTGCTTTAATCGAGCATACAGGTCTGCGCAAAACTTATTGATAGGCGTACATGACAACGCTATTTACCCATTCTGGCTCTGAGCCTTTGCAAGAATTATGTAGGTATGAGACATTTGGCCGCGATGTGCTGAGAGATCTGAAAATCTGAGATCTTTGACACTCAACAATCTATTTACTTTGGTTTAATCGTAAATCGTGCTGATTTAAAAGAGGTTAAGAGGGACATGAAATCAGTACAATGGACGGCAAGTGGCCTGAGTGCTCGCGCGTCAATCATGCACTATCACTGCGAAAGTCAAGTCATGTGCGCATTTCTATTACGTACATACCTCTGAGTATTCAGATATGAGTTGTTTTTATAAAGTCCCTCGATTAACTAAAATGCAATTAACGTGAAAGTTTCTCTGACGTACATGAAAGGTTTGAAGCTTACGGTATAGCCGAAGACAACACTATCCTAACTTGTTTAGGTGACTGCGCACGCAAGGGGCACTGTACGGCTAGCGAATTAAGCGTGTAAGGTCGACGATTTACATAATAGCACTACTATATGATATGCAATAAGCAAAAGTTTATGCATACACAAGTATGTGCGTGTGTATATATAAGTATGTACATATATCATTATACAAGTAGACATATCTAATCTTTTGCACATGAACATGCACGCACAAGTCTGGTTAAGTAGGAGAAAAACCCAAATTTCTTTAATTACTGAAATACTTTTTAAAGTGCTGTCAGACGTGGCAAGGCAAATATTTTTCAAAGCATTATGCTGTCAAATTGAGAAAGTGAAACTGCTCTTTGTCGAATGAATGCTGGTTACATAAAATACATACATATGTACATACATAAGAACTGATGAATATAGAATAGATTGTACTGATTTTATTGAAGAGCATTTTAATTCTTAATTTGGAAGAATTTTTAATTTGGAAGAATACATAAATCGCCAATCTATTATTATTATTACATAAATCGAATTTCCCACCAACGATGCCAACTATGTATTTTCTGAGCGCACTTGTTCGCATATAATGCTTGTTTGTTAGAGCCTAAAGGTATCAAGATAGTTGTAAACATATACATATGTAAATATCGTAACTAGACACGAATAAAGGCGCGCTAGTGTTTTGACGAAAAAAGACGTTCACGAAAAACGTCGACGACGAAGGGCGTGTAACCTACATAGTTGACGGCGAAGAAGGATGTGTAAACAAAGATTTCTACCTGGAAAAGGACTATAAATTCAGCCTCATCACCCAAAAATTCTTTGTGGCGAATTTACGTTCTGTTACAACCGCAAACAGAGTTGGCCGCGAAAATAACTTTACGCGTCATTCTTCGTCGCTAACTAAATATGTTAAGAGTCTTTCTTCGCTGAAGTTTTTTTATGCGTTTTTTTTTCGCGGGAAACTGTTGAGCTCGCGCCTTTATGCTCAGCATGAAAAGAGAAGTCGATGAAGCAATGTCTGTCGGTCTGTCTATCTGTCCGTCTGCCTATCGTGTACTCGAGCAACAATTTGGATATCTCAACGAAATTTGGTATATAGGATGCCTTTTATCCAAGGTAGGTTTGTATTGAAAATGGGCAAAAGTAGACCATAGCCACGCCCACCACCCATATAAAGCATGCTAAAACTACAATATTTCTTGATTTATAGTAGAATTTTAATATAAAATGATTTGTTTTGGAAAATAGTTAAGTGTAGCGTCGCCCCTTTATGAAGAATTGCTGCAACTCAGTAGCTGCTTCACCAACCCTTACCAAACTCGATATGAAAATTGCTTACAGTGAAACCAAGAAACTTGTCGAAAATTTTCGAAATCGGACATTAACCACGCCCACCTCCCATATACAGGAAATATGAAAACTAAGGTTCGATTTCGACCGAACTTATACTTCTTTACTTGTTCTTTGATAACATATTTAGTTGCATTTAAATTACGAAAAGTATTGCGCGAAATTAGGTGGTATAACTACCCCTACATAAACTTTTCGAAAGCCTTCAGTTAGGCCAACTTTACGAAATTACCTGCATTGTCAAGTGTGAGCGAACTTTTACCATAGAGAATAAATTAGTGGCGATTGGTAAAAGGATGGGGGGGGGGCAAGAAATCTACCAAACCCAAAAGCTGCAAAACAAAACAAAATTTTTTAGCGGCTAAAATATTTCACACAAAATGGTACTTGGGATAGGGTCAAAAACTAGAAGTGTCAGCTGGAGCAGACGTGTTTAAAGTAAAGACGTGCTGCTTAAAACTAAAATACAAATTTGCATATAAAAATAGTACGTAAAATAATAAGTTGGAAAACTTCATATATATGCATATACGTACACATGTACATACATACATATACATAGGTATTCGTATGATAAGAATTTTATACTGCAAAATATCAAATTGAAATTCTGACGTAAAGACAAATCAGTAAACGGATCACTTAGTTTATCAACGAAGAATCAAAAAGGCTATTGCAATAGCTGTGTTTTAAATAAAAGACGAAATTGTTATAAGTAATAGTTTTAGTGCAATAGCATCATTTTCCGAGTACGGTAGTCTGAAGTACTCGTGGAAAAAGGCGAAAAAAGTATTATCATAAAAATGGTAAAGCAGTGAATTATTTAGATCTTTATTTTTAGATCATTACAAAATCGTTATTTTGTAATTTTTATGTTTTCTACCAAGAGAACAAACAAAAAGGATTCAGTGTATTATATTTTGTGCATTACGCTTAACCTTTTTTTCATAGCAAAATATGCTAAAAATTAGAGGAGTATTCATTTTATTAAAAAACCAGGAAAATTTAAGTGTGCACCAGGACACCAGGACAATTTGTCTAAATCAGCACAAATCCTGGAAAACCAGAATGTCTGGCAGCCCTAAAGTAGATAAAAAGTTATTTGTTATAGATAGATTCAATTTGGTATTTAAGTATAAATTAATACAACTGAGTGGAGTGGAGTCGCGAGCACGTCCACAAACCTATGCGATTTTGTCGGCATGAATCCGCACCGTTTTCGGTGCTACAGACGTTACTGCTTCGAAAACGCAAGTAAGCACACATCTGTGCGATTCTATGGCAGTACAACATGTCAATTTATAGCTATAGAAATATTTTTCAACAAAAATAAAATTCCTAACTTTTCTGCTACAAAAAAAATGTTTTCAATTTTGTTTTAATCTTGTATTGTAATTAGTAATAAGAACACCAACTTTATCTTAAACTTTATTTTACTAATATGTAGTTCGTTTCTTTTTTTCACATATTACATATCCACTTAGTGTTCAAAAATTTTCTTTTGCCTTTTGGCACTGGTTGCACTAATGACTCAATCGCCCACCGCCGACGGCGCCAGAATACTCGCAGCTTTCGTACATCCAGGCAAAAGTCACTTCCAGATGCATCAAACACTAATTAGCGAGTTGATAAAACATGGCCATCAGGTAAATTGGTCTCTTGATGGAAAATCAAATATGTATGTACATATATATGTATTTCTCGAAACAAACATTAGGTCACCGTGATAACCGCGTACACATTTGAGTCACTCAAATTAGGCAGCAACTACACTGAGGTACTCATCGATCCCATGTTCGAAATATGGAAGTTTGGTAAGCCTTTATTACTGCTATAAACTTCTAGGATCACAATATTTATTTATTTTTATTTTTTGAAGCTAACGAACGTTCCCGCACAAAATCACTTTACGAAATGGACATGAAACCAGGTAGTCTTATGAAAATGGCAGAAGCTCTAGGTCTGGCGTCCACCGAACATGCACTAAAGCAACCAAAAATACAGGCAATAATTAATGCCAATCAAACCGAGGGTGTCTACGATTTACTACTTTCGGAACAATTTCGACAAGATGCCTTCCTTGCCTTGGCTCACGTCTATAAAATACCCGTTGTCTGCTCTGCTACATTTGCCAAGCAGCTCTATATGAGTCAAATGTTCGGCCTAATTACGCCTTGGTCGTATGTGAGTTCGGGCTTTCTACCACTGCGCGAACGCATGAACTTTTGGCAAAGAATTTATAATACCTATTCTGCAATTGAAATGGATTTACATCGTGAATTCAGTTACTTTCCAAAAGTGGATGCGCTTGTACAGAAATATTTCGGACATTTGCCAAGTAAGGACTTTTTAGTGTTTAATAAGAATGACTGTGAAATTAGTTACTGTTATGTAATTGTGATCAGCATTAGCCATAAATTATATTACTATAAACTTACATACAGATTTAATGCATTTTTATCTAATCTGCACTACTTTTCACAGTTCAATTCCCCAGCACTTCGGCTATGGAGAAGAATCTCTCGGCCATGTTCATCAATAACCACATTCCTTTAGCAACGGTTTCACCGACTATGGACAACATCGTTAATGTAGGCGGTATGCATATCTATCCACCAAAGCCACTTCCTGCAGATTTGCAGAAATTGTTGGATGAGGCCAAGGATGGCGCCATTTTCTTTAGCCTTGGTACACAAGTAGAGTCCAAGGATATGCCGCTAGAAAAGTTTCAGATATTCCTAGACGTCTTTCGGCAGCTAAAACAACGCGTCTTGTGGAAATTCGAAAACGACAGCATACCAAATTTACCCGCCAATGTTTTAATTAAAAAGTGGCTGCCACAAAATGATATCTTAGCTCACCCTAATGTGCGTGTCTTTATCACTCACGGTGGGCTCTTTGGCACACAAGAAGCCGTTTATCATGGCGTACCGGTGTTAGGGATGCCGTTCTTCTTCGATCAGGTGAATATGTTGTTAAATCAAAAAT